TATATTATGCATCATATCCTAGTTTGAAACGTGACAAAACTGATTGATTGGCTGTATCTAAAATCAAAGCACGAAGAAAAATCGAGGAACACTGGAAGGATACAGCATATCAACAAGAGGAAGTTTGTAACACGGTTCAAACTGAGGAATATGATGATGATGACGATGACGACGACGATGACGACGATGATGTTCAAGAAGAAGATGAAGATCAAGATGAAGACGAAGGTGAAGATGACGATTTAGATTTTTGAGACTTTTTACTAATTATGTCGTAATTATTATTATGACAAGAGTTTATTGTTGTTGTCATATTTTGTCACGCCCCGAACCCTATGGCACGCGACAACCCTACCGAGGTCGATTCAGTGCGACGTCTCAGGACGCGTCGCCGACCCGAAACCCAAAACAGAGAACAATGCACAAGCGGAAGCAAACAAACACCCGTACAAATTAAAACCACATGACCAAGGATAGCGGTAATACCATAAATACAACTTGCACTAATAACGGGGATTTACAATGTCTATTACAACATAATAAACATATAAAAGCCAAAATGGGTCAACATCCACCAACGTCAAAAAGGGGGTACGTGGCTCGGCGGTCAAGCGCTATATCTAGCCGGGGCTCCTCTCAAAACGTATCGGTACGCCTGCCATCCTCAAGGCTGGGGGTCTGAAAAGTGGGGTTTCAACAACAGTGAGAATAAATCTCAGCGAGTAGGTTCCCTAAACCTAAGCTAGGCTAACATGCACCTCCTGACGAGCACTAATCAACACACCAATCAAACTCTAATTAACTTAGGCCCTCGGGCCCAAATCCAATACTCACCTTGCCCTACAAGTTAGGCACTTACAATTCAAGAATAAAACACAGGACCCAATCACAGCACATGCACACATCACTTGGTCACAACGCATGTCATGCTTATGCTCGTGCTCATACGCGTGCTCACGCCTCATCAATGCATTTTTGCACGCTTGCACTCCAGCACACTTGCAATTATCAATTTCTCCTCCGACCCGCGTTAAACGCATCAGGTCCATCACTTCGAGATCGATCTCCGGCTCGCGTAAAACGCATCAGGCTCATGACACATAACCCGCGTAAACGCATCAGGTTGGTCATCTTCCGGTAATCCGGGCATCGTCCCGCGTAACACGCCTCAGGACGGGTTCACTACCCCGCGTAAAACGCATCAGGGCTTTATGTGATCACCATTCATAAACACCAATTGTTATATGAACCCCGCGTAAAACGCATCAGGGCATTTTACGTGATCACACACTCATGTCATTCGTGCACACTCATATATGCAAATGCCATGCCAATGCTCGAGATGCACACCCATGGCCATGAAGTTCACACTTGGGCACTCACGAATTTCACAATGAGCATTCAATTGCACAACGCCAATTATTCAATTCACAACACAATATGCTCAATTCAATGAATCAGAAGTCCAATCAATCAATTAATTCAAATCAGCCATGGTACATCATCGGCACACGAAAATCACGCAATTAAGCCATTAAACTTGCACAAGTCTAAGGTCCACCAAGCATATCCTTTCTCGGCCACATAAGTACTCAATCCTGGCATCACGTAACCACTACCAAGCCATAAATAATCAGCCGCTTAATGGACAAATCAAGCACACACGGCCAATTCACAATTAATCCTCAGTTTCGCCGAACAAGGCCCGATAAATTCCACTATGGACAGCCACTAACCAGTCCCCTCTAGGCCTCCAATCCACTTCCAAATCATCACATTAGGCTTCCCAAATCCACCACATAAACAGCCACTACACGGCCCGATTGTTGTACCCATTATAGTCCGCATTTAGACCACGATTAATCAACATAATAGTCCAATCGAGCCTACACTAATCGGTCACCAACCAGATCACCTTAGGCCACTAAATCACTTCCAGATCACCACATTAAGCCACAAGAATCACCATGAAGACAGCCACCATGCGGTCCACAAATCACATCCGCCAAATCCACATAATCGCCTAAATTAATTTCCCCAATGAACAGCCGACCATCAGCCCACTCTAGACTATCAAGTCATATTTAAATCATCACGTTAGGCTCTCATAATCACCACATTACCAGCCTAACTCGCAGCCCACGAATTGCGCCCATTTAATCCACATAATGGCCCGAATCGAATCCACAATAAACAGCCACCGATCAGCCCATTCTAGGCCATCATATCACATTTAAATCATCACCCTAAACTCCCAATTTCTCCACATAATCAGCCACCACGAGGATCAAACTAGGCGCGCTCTATAACCCACAATTGAACCCGAACTTGACCCGAACTCGGGCCGATTCAATCCGATACTTCCAGCCATCACACAGCACATTCCAAGCCGCTAAACCTCATTACAATAATCCCGCTAAACCACCAAATCAGCCACAATATCAGCCCCTAATGTCCTTCGCACGTTAACCCCTAATTACCCTAATTAACCCCTAAAACCCGTCTAGAAATGTAAATTAGCCTAATTAGGGTTTAGGGTTGTACTCACTTGGATTCCTAGGCTCCAAATAGGGCTGAGCAAGTGTCAACGGCGGCTAGACAGCGGCGGTCCCGCGCCGAAACAGTAACGGCGGCGGCGGCGGCTCCGGCGAACGGTGCGAGCGGCGACGACGGTCTAGGCGATTCCACGGCCTAGATGGACACGGCCAGAGAGAGAGAGAGAGGTGGGACGGCTGGACGGCTGGGCGAGGTGGTGGATCCGGGCCGGAATAGTAACGGTGGCGGCGGAGCTCCTCCGGCGAGGTCCTTGAGCGGCCGAGAAGGAGAGGGGGAGCGGAAGAGAGGGAGATGGAGGCTGAGGGGGGTGCGGACCGGTGGCGGCTGGCCGGACGGGCTGGCGACGGGCGAGCTGGCCGGCGGGCAGCAACGACGGGATGGCTTGGTTCGTCGGAACCGAAACAGGGGAGAGACCGGGGAGGAGAGAGACAGGGGGAAACTGGTCTCACGGCAGCCGAAGGCGGCGCGGCGACTTCACGGTGGCCAGGCGACGGAGGGCAGGCCGCGGGCGGCCGGCGGCAGCCGTGTCGCGGCGGTCGCGGCGATGAGCCACGCTCGCGCGCCTCGCGGCGCGAGGCCGGCGACGGGCGGTCGCGGCGACAGACGGCGGCGCGGCTCAGTCGGGGCGACGGTGGCGACGGCGACGTGGCTGGAGGCAGAAGGGCGGTCACGCGGCGTACGGTCGGGCGAGCAGAACAGAAACGAAGCAGAACCGTCGGGGAAGAGAGAAGAGGAAGAAGGAGAAGAAAGAAAAGGGAAGAAGAAGGAGAGAGGAGAGAGAGTGTCAAGGGGGGTTTGGTCTGCATGGGTATGGGCAGATGGGACGCAAGCAGGGAGAAACGTGCGCGGCAAGTGGGGCGCGCAGAGGAAAGAGAGAGAGAGAGAGAGAGAGAGAGAAAAAGGGGGAGAGGGCAAGCGCACGAGGGGAGACGAAAACGTGCGGGCAGGGGTGTTCGACGCGGCAGATGGGGAGAGAGAGAGGGGGAAATAAATTTAAATGTTCAATCAAATAAATAATGCAATTCAACGGCCCATAATTAAAACCGACAACGTTCCGACGGTCCAAATTAGTCCTAGAATATAATAAGGGACAAAAGCCAAGTTAATTAAATCAACTACCACGAGGGAGGTCTACTGGTCCAAACTCGCACCCGGTCAAAAACTCCCCTTTTTCCATTATTCCTGACAATCTCAACGCTGGCCACACTAATATCGACATCGTCCAATTTATTTCGTACCGAAACTCCTGAAAATCGACTGCCAAGTTTGGGGTCTAAATAACGGCAAAATTCCATCGAGTGCGATTCTAGCAAAATCTCTATTTTAAAAACAAGAACCCGAGAGTGATCAGTTCCCTGGCGAGATTCTATTATAAGCGCACTGACGAATTATACGTTTTATAAATCCCAAAAATGAGCCGAAATTCGGGATGTCACATATTTATTATTATTGTTGTTGTCGTAATTATTAGTATTGTTGTTGTTGTTATTGTTATTATTATTATTGTTGTTGTTATTGTTGATTATTATTATTGCTATTATTGTTACTGACACGTTATTGTCGAGAAAAAAAATGAATTAGGCGTGTGTGGGCTAGTAGAAATGAAATTCATGGCAAATTTGCACGGATTTAACATTTGAAAAAAAAATGAATTGCGGGCATTTTTTATGAAATTCGTGGCTAAAATCCGTGGCAAATTTGCCACAGATTTTAGCCATGAATTTCATAAAAAAATGGACGTAGGCATGTGTATGGGCATTTTTTTAAAATTCGTGGCTAAAATCCGTGGCAAATTTGCCACGGATTTTAGCCACGAATTTCATAAAAAATGGACGTAGGCATGTGTATGAGCATTTTTTTATGAAATTCGTGGCTAAAATCCGTGGCAAATTTGCCATGGATTTTAGCCACGAATTTCATAAAAAAATGAATTGTGGGCATTTTTTTAAAATTCGTGGCTAAAATCCGTGGCAAATTTGCCACGGAGTTTAGCCACGAATTTCATAAAAAAAAATGAATTGTGGGCATTTTTATGAAATTCGTGGCTAAAATCCGTGGCAAATTTGCCACGGATTTTAGCCACGAATTTCATGAAAAATGCCCATACACATGCCTACGGATTTGCCACGGATTTTAGCCACGAATTTCATAAAAAAAAGAAATTGTGGGCATTTTTACCACGAATTTTAGCCACGAATTTAATAAAAAAAATGAATTGTGGGCATTTTTATGAAATTCGTGGCTAAAATCCGTGGCAATTATCCGTGGCAAATTGCCACGGATTTTAGCCACGAATTTCATAAAAATACCCACAATTCATTTTTTTATGTCCGTGGCTTTGTTTAGCGACGAACTCTTCTGTCCGTGGCAAAATTCCCTAATTTTGCTCCCCGCCCTCTCTCAAATTTGCCCGCCCTCACCCCAATTTTTCTCTCTCTCTCTCTGTTATTCCTCGGATCCCCCCTTCCGCCAAACACCTCTCCGTCGCTCCCTCCTCCCCTCCACCAGCCATGATGGCCACCCTCACAGCCACTGCCGCCGTCGCCTCCTCCTCCGTCGCCATCCGCCCGTTCCGCTCCCACAAGCCCTCCCGCGCGCCCGCCGGGATCAGGTGCTCCGTCGCCGAGGGCCCCGCGATCTCCCAGCCGAGGGCCGCCGGCGGGGGACTGGTTGATTGCGTGGTGGTCGGGGGCGGGATCAGCGGGCTTTGCATCGCCTAGACGCTCACCACGAAGCACCGCGACAGGGCCCCCGACGTGGTCGTCACCGAGGCCAGGGACCGCATCGGCGGCAACATCACCACCGTCGAGAGGGACGGCTACCTGTGGGAGGAGGGCCTCAATAGTTTCCAGCCATTCCGAGATTGGTACGTTCCCATTCCGAGATTAATACGTTCCGTCGGTCCCATTCCGAGATTTGTACGTTCCGTCTACTCTGATTTTGTGACCTTCTTATTGAAGTTCTCGAGTATGTTCGTGTGTCAACTGATAGATATATCGTCGGATTATTGTAATGGTTGTCGTTGCTCTTGTTTCGTTAGAATTGGGTATAGTCTTGATCGAGAAATGGAGATGATGTTTGTGAGTTTATAGGGTAAATGGGTCAGGATAGGGTGCTTTGCAAGTGTTTGATGAATGACCCAGTTCTCCAATTTGAGAATAGACGTGCAATTTTGGACCTTTTTTTATGCTGTTGTGAATAGCGGGGCGAGGCTCGAATCGGCGTGAGTTCTTTCTTGGGTGTTCTTCCTTTTTTTTTTCTGGGGAAAAGGAAGAAAATGGAGAGGACAAAGCAATCGTTGGATAGATGCTCAAGAACACTCAGACTTCACTTGCAGAAGGTAGTGCTTCATGTGTTAATTTTTGTGAAGCTTTCGTTGGATAGATGCTTGCGACCTTTTTTAGCCAGGTTATGGCTGCTATTGGAGGAAATACTGCAGGTCCAGGTAGGAGGACTTTAATTTTAAGCCCTTGAGTTAATAACTATTTTAGTTCACATTTCTATTATGGTATTGATTTTCATCTTTTGTTTTTATGTGCACAGGGGATGCTGTTGTCAATGTTTACATAAACCATGAAAAGAAGTTTGCTTTTGTGGAAATGAGATCTGTTGAGGAGGCAAGCAATGCAATGGCCTTAGATGGCATTATCTTTGAGGTAAGTTCAATTACATTTTTAACATAATTCTACATTTTTTCTTGCGGTGGATCTGCCCCCTTTTTTCGAGGACATTCATATATCTACAACATTGACAAAACGTTAACTAGTTTGAATTTTTGTGCAGGGAGCGCCTGTGAAGGTGAGGAGGTCCAGTGATTACAACCCCTCCCTTGCAGCAACTCTTGGTCCTAGCCAACCTAATCCTAACCTAAATCTTGGTGCGGTTGGTTTAACCCCGGGTTCTGCTGGTGGGCTTGAAGGTCCTGATCGCATTTTTGTGGGTGGATTACCATATTACTTTACAGAAGTGCAAGTGAGGGAGCTGCTGGAATCTTTTGGTCCTCTTAGGGGTTTTGATCTAGTGAAAGACAGGGAGACTGGAAATTCCAAAGGCTATGCTTTTTGCATTTATCAAGATCTCTCAGTCACGGATATAGCTTGTGCAGCTCTCGATGGCATTAAAATGGGCGACAAGACTCTCACTGTTAGGCGTGCTAACCAGGGTGCAAACCAACCAAAACCTGAACAGGAGAGTGTTTTGTTGCATGCACAGCAGCAGATAGCTCTGCAGGTGAAAGGTTTTTACATTCATCGTTGAGGAGTCCTTTTGCATGGTCAAGTTTTTCTACAATTTCAATTTTTTGGCTAATTCTTGCAATTTCAGTTCCGTGAATTATAGCAGCATTGTTGACATATTCTCGAGTATATTCGTAGTAGTTTTTGTCAGCGTCATCTCCGCTTTTATTTTATTTTGCATCTGTGAGTTGGAACTTTAACTGAGATGTGGTTCATTGAATGTGTGACATTGGTTTCTTCTTTTTAATTTGTCTTGTTACGATTATGTCCTCAAGTCTAAATTACCAAGGCTTTTTAACTTTTGCAGAAGCTTATGTATCAACTTGGTGCACTTGCTACTAAAGTGGTATGTCTAACACAAGTAGTTACTGAGGATGAGCTTAAAGATGATGGGGAGTATGAAGATATATTGGAGGATATGAGACAAGAAGGCGGAAAATTTGGTAAGAACTGTCTATATAGTTCTTGTTAATTTCTGCTCTTATTTTGAGGTTTTTGACTCGCCAAAAGTATATTAATATTTTTGTTCTTTCTTTGTGCTGTATCTCTATTTTACAGCCTTTTCTTGTTCCACATTCTGCTTAAAGAATCGGGCCTAACATTCAGAAAGAAGTTTCCAAAGCCTTATATCTTCACCTAGATTTCAAAATCTAAGCTCTTTTCTTCGTTCTAATGATACTTGTTTTGCAGGTAATTTGGTGAATGTGGCCATACCTCGTCCCAGACCAGATGGAGAACCTTCCGCAGGTGTTGGAAAGGTAATTCTACCACCTGCTATGGGCAATGCTCTTCTGCCTCCCTGGGTATCTGCGTTTGTCTTCATTTTTCTCCCTCTGGGTGTTGGAAATACATGGGTGCTCATGTGTCTTTCTGCTTTTGGTTTTTTTATGACGTTTGGAGGAGGGGGTAAGGGGTGTTGGCTGCTACCATGTTACAATACTCTCCCATCATAAGTTGCAAATTATCTGTTATATTATGATTCGTTGTCTCTGATTCTTTTCTATCCTCTGTGGCCAATGTGCCTACTGTGCAAGACTTAGGAAATGATGGATTTGGGGGTTGATAATGTAGTGCTTTGTTGCCATAAAAGACCTGACCGCAAATTAATAATTGTAGTGCTTTGTGGCCAATCCTTGGTAATGGACCATCCTCTACTGAAAATTGTAGATGAGGGTCGAGATCATGTCTCCTTTGGTGCCCTGAACCAATGTAATGAAATGTATGAAGTGATATTAAATTGCCAATCCAGCATTCTTATCACTGATGCAATTGCTGGATTCCAGAAAATGCTCTGCATGGATCCTAGAAGAAGCAAGATGCTCTGCAAGAACTTCACGATCTTATTACCTCGAAGAGATCCCGAGCATGGCAAAATACCCTTGAGAGGATTATGTTCAAGTACATTGAGCTATGTGTTGATATGCGGAGGGGGAGATTTGCCAAGGATGTTTAAGTACGTTGAGCTAATGTTCAAGTACATGAAAAATGTAGATGAATGTATTCATTTTCATATTATTATAATAGTTTGATGACATTGAGCTATATGTTCAAGTACATGGAAAATGTAGCTGAATATATTTCATTTTCATATTATTATAATATTTTGATGTTATTAAGTGCTTAATCAATGTTAAATACAAATTCTAGAAATTAATTTTGCTTTAAATTACATTTAAAATCGAATAAGAAAATGAAATACATTCATTTTGGTGGGTAATTTAAATTACCCATGAATTTTGCCACGAATAAGTTCGTTGCAAAAAATTGACAAAAAAAAAAAATTGGTGACAAATTAGCCATGAATTTTGCCACGAAATGTGTTCATCGCAAATTAGCGATAAATTTTGCCACGAATAATTAAGAACGATTTTTGCCACGAAAATATTTTGTCGCAATTTCGCGACCAACAAAAAAAAGTTTTTAAAAAAATAGCGACGAATTTTGCCACGAATAAAGTTCGTGGCAAATTAGCGACGAATTTTGCCACGAATACAATTCGTGGCAAATTAGTCACGAATTTTGCCACGAATAATTAGCGACGAATTTTGTTTCGTGGCAAATTAGCCACGAATTTTGCCACGAATAATTAGCGACGAATTTTACGACGAATTTTTTTTCGTCGCAAAATTTTGCGACGGCCTATTAGCGACGAATTTTTTTCCGTCGCTAATTTCGTCGCAAATTAGTTTAGCAACGAATTTTGCCAAATTTTTCGTGGCAAAATTCGTCGCAAAAACCAACTTTTTTTGTAGTGCGAAATATCGCTAATTCAATAGGGATACTTCTGCAAATTTTCATGTTTATATTCTCATCATTGTAAGCTAGACCATTTTCATCTTCCACTTCTACATAATCTTTATCTCTTTCCTTTTTTTTTTTTTACAATTCCCTAAATCGAAATATCATAATCTTTTTTTCTATTCTTATAGATCGTGTATACCTTATTTGGTGTAACTACTTGAGCAAGATGAAAGGAAACTTTCTCGTCCGATTTTAAAGGAGGGAGATCCTATAGGATCCTATCCCAATTTTTCTTTTTCTAGGCCCATAGCTAAAAAACCTACTTTCTTGAGATTACGAAGGTTATGCGAATGTGAAATATTTCCTTATTCCAAGATATTTTAGTTTTGCCTTGAATCATTGGGTTTAGATATTACTTCAGTGATTTTTTATCTTTTCTAAATGGCGGCAACATGCCCCTTTTTCTCATTTATTTCTATCAAAGAATCATAAACGGTTGTTTTTCGCACCTTACACTTTTGATCAAAAGAGTTTCACTAATTCCAACAAATTTTCCTTTTTTGGATTTGAAACTTGCCCAAATTGAATCCTTTAGATTTACAAATCGAAAATAGACCACACTTACGAAGTTGTTCCAACTTATTAATTGGCACTAATCCTAGATCCTTGCCTTAGAAATGAATCAATACTTTCTACTCGAGCTACATCACATGCTATATGCACTACAACCCAAGAAAAGACAAGGGTTCTAGTGGAACAGGACAAAGGATGTTGAGCCAAAAACATCTTCATCCCTACATAATATAATAAAATAAAAAGGATATGTGTAAAAACCCACAAATGATCATGTCCTTCACGTCGCACGTTACTTTCTACCACCATTGTTTTTAAACAAAGCTTTACCATAACATTCCTCTAGTTTGGAACTTATATGTAATTGATTCAATTAGGGAATCGCATTTTATTCACGTATTAATCATTCATTCACAATCTTGTTGTATACAAATTAATATTATTATCCAAATCAGAGCAAATATAAAGGAAAAAGCCATTGACATTTTTTAATATGCAATTAACACATATTTCTTTAAAAGGAAATCTTTAATTTGGGCTCACGCTATTTCTGCCCTCTAAATGGCTATAACACTCTAATTTGTTGAATTAACAAAAATAGCATTAAGAGAACTAATTAATTAAAATCACAAATGGATAGGGTGAAAGTTGCTATTTATTGCAAACACAAAAGGCAAATATTGTCATAAAAATATAAGGGTGTTCTTATTATTGTACTCGAGTGGATAAGTGTTCTCATTAAAAATATATGAGTGTTCATTGTCATAAAAATACAAAAGTTGCTACATATTGCAAAATCACAAATGGAAAGATTGTTCTCATAAAAATATTGTCTAAATGCCTTTAGTATTTTGTCATAAATACAAAAGACAGATATTTCCGCCGTCTAAATGGTGTTTTCATTCCACCATTTATGTTATTCCCATTCGTTTTTATATAGACTTCGTTTTCTTTTTCTTCTGCTTACTAATGTACTCGACTTCTTTCTACAAAGGATTTTTTAATGAGTTTGCACCTTGATGGTGTTCTTTGTTAATCTTGATATTGACAAGGTTTTGGGTCCTAGTTCCTTTTACTGCTTACTCAAGAGTTATTTGGTGTTTTATTATGGGATAAATTAGGGATAGTAAATTCTCGACATTCATTTTTTTTATTCGACTGTAACCCTTTTTTATACAAAAAAAAATGTACTTGTTGATGTACTTTCAAGTTTGAATGTCCATCATTAAATTTATCAGTACACTTTATTAATGTCCAGGAAGTGAAAGTTAGAAGGTTTTCACTATAAAAGTAATGCACAATAAAAAGAAAATTTGATAGTAAAATACAAGGATGAAATAACCATTAAGTTTATCACTTAGATTTAATTATTTCGTAATTGTTCACTCTCTCTCGACTGTCTCCATTTTCTTTTTTAAATCTTTTTTTTTTTGGATACCGTTTTAGTTATGTACGTTAAAATATCCAAACGGTAGACATGGCAAATAGTCCACGCAAAGAGTGAGTCAAGCACCAAAGAGGATACTTGAGAATTGAATTTAAATGGTACATTTTGGTTTGAAATTTAATTCGATGCGTAAGAAGTTTTCAAGACGCTTTCATTTTCAATTTTAAAATCGAAAGATATTAATTTTTTGAGATAAACATATCAATTACAAGGGTAGTTTCTCACATATTAGGGCAACACATTAGACAGGACTTTTCAATTTTACCACATTCTATAATTGATATTTCAAATTTGGAAAGTTCCCCATTTTAAATTTTCCACTTACAAGCAAGCATGGTTAAGTTTGCTATACATTGTAATCAAAATGTGATTGCACGTGCATCGATTCAATATCACTCCGTAGATGAATAGCAACAAAACAAATTGGACACTCTTTCGATTAGTTGAGTCGAATGTGAATGACCAAAAACTTCGATTTCTTTGGAATTTGTTTATTTGAAACATGGATATTGTTTACTTTTCATAGTCTATTCGGATTGGGTAAAATTGGTTTTTGGGTCTTTTGGGCGGGTACGTGCCTCTTCTCAAAGTTTTGTTCAACGGGGGGGAGAGGTGATCGGTTCCAAGGTAGGTAGGTTACAGGTTTGAAACCTAGAACCAACTCTATTATAACTAATTTTCAATTTTTGGAATCTGGAATCTACCATGTTTTTCTAGGAACCTGTTTTGGAACCTATCTTATTTTTCTGGTCCGATTCAAAGTATACTCGAGAACCTATTTTTCTTTTGTTCCTTTATCTGGTTTCATTTTTTCCAGCAAAATAATATTAGTACAATTCAAAGTAAAAGATGAATAATAAAAATCACTATCCGCCATAAGCAACAATCCCTAAGATGAGCAATAAAAATTACTATCCATCAAAAGCAACAATTTAAAATATAGTAATACTATGATCTATGTTTTTTTTTTAACACAAGCTAAAAATCGGTTCTAAAACCGGCCCGGATGGGTCTTCACTTGGAATTGGAAACCGGAACGGTTCCAATCAGTTCCCAAAAAATGGAACCGATTCCCATACCAGTTCAAATAGGAACCGGTTACCGGACCTATTTTTCGGGTGGTTCGGTCCGGTTGCACACCCTAAATGGGGGAAGCTATTTGCGACATAAAAACATTATAGGGTAACTTTGGGGGATTAGTGATCAATAAAGGGGGGCAATATGGAATTTTCTAAAGTTAAGTCTGTCATACGCAGAGTCACGACTTAAAACGGCGCTCCTTCTCGTTGGACAAAAGAAGCGCGAAGAGAATCGGGATGCTGCGGAGGAGATAAATGCTCTGCAGTTTTCAAGAGTCATGCTTTCGCTTCTCATATGGATGTTCCTCGCTTAGCACGCCACAGGTTGGAACTTGTGGAGGCACCATCATTGCTTCTGGTAATCATCCGTCTCTCTCTCTCTCTCTCTCTCTCTCTCTCTCTCTTAAAATGCATGCAGTCCGTTCTGATTCAGTTTGTCTAGCTTTTTCCCCTTCATTTTCGTTACAAGAAAATGGTTTTTTGGGGTCGATTCTGATTCTCTTTTGCACATTCTTTTACCTGTGAATTTGATACGACTTGTTTGTTATTTTATTTCATGAGAGTGATGATATCGTTTGCTCTGTTTCTCCACTGATTGAGTAGGGATTGAAGTGAAACCTGGCAAGCCTTATAATCACGAGCCAAATGGATCGAGGCTTCACATCTCCCAGGTAAGACCCTTCTCTGTTCTTTGATTTTGGTTCATTGCAACATGGAAATGTCCAGATTTCATCAGGTTTTTATTGCTTTTCCTTCTAAGTGGATATGCGAAATTTTGGGCAGGCGACACTCGGGATTGGTGTTGCCACCAACAAGAGCACGGTCCAATGTAATGTGGGCGATGCGAGTCCTGTATTTATATGCTCCTTGTTTCCAGGAAAAGAAGAATCTGCTCAGATAAATTTGGAATTTGAGGAATCCCATCAAGTCATTTTTTCTGTTCTCGGTGTTCGCAGTGTTCACCTCACAGGTTACTACCTGGGAAGAGGTCGAGAATTTGTTGATGACTTGTATCCTTGGTTGAGTTATTACATGTCGTTTCTCATATACTTTTGTTTTTTAATTGTATAAGATGATGGGTTGGGTTCCATTACATCATTTTATCCATGCAAACATTATACATGTTGGGGTGAGCTGAAAAGGTCAAGAAGTACAAATCAGTGTCCGAAGGGACTTAAACTGTTTTATACACTAAATATAGAAGCTTCATTCTAGAGTTCCATTCCTTTATAATGATTATTAGAGAGTCCTACGGAGAAGATATTGCGGACACAGAGACAGATATTTCTGAGGACGACGACCAGTATGAAGATAGCTTTATCAATGATGGTGATGTTGAATTCCTTCCACCTTCTCCTATTCCGAATAAATCAGGTATTCGTAGTTTAACAATGTTCTTTTCTTATTTCTCATGATAAGCTTGTCGATGAGCTTCTACTTGGAAAATTATGTATGCACAGCTCTTCATTCTTTATTTCTAAAGGAAAAGAAATTCTCGATTTTGAGAACTCAATTAGATTCTGTATAAAAAAAACAATTCGGAATCTATTGTGATTAGCTGTCGATGTCACAACAATGCAATAGACCATTTTGCTTTGTTAAATTACACATCTAAAATCCTTGGAGTTGGTTTAATGCTTCGTTCAATTCTTGACATTGCTTAAACTCTTTTTGCTTGATATCAGTAACACCTACAAGCAATTACAACAGCATATATTACTAATCTTTCACTTTTTTCAGATTCAATGAAACCTTTGAATAATTTGCATTTTGGGTCACTATGTACCAGTAGTCCAGCCATGCATTTGTAAAATGAAATGTGAAATTCGTGCACTGAGTCTAGTCTATTTTTACTGCTAAAGATTGTTGCATCAAAATCTTCTGATGAGTTGCTTGCATCCTGCATCGAAGTAGGACCAGTCAAAAACCTCTAGTAACTCGTTTCTGGAGGCAAAAGGCAATATCCAATAAATTGTTGCTTTTATCTTTTAGAAAGAAAGATTATTGATGATGAAGTATAAAGAAATTGACCTTTAAAAACTTCGCTGCCAGCATTTTTTTTTATTTGGATTACTTTATTGATAATGTAGTATCAACTTTCACAAACAAAATATACTAGTTG